GAATTTTGTCAACTCAGCTGAAGATGAACCACAATACAACTGTTGACTGGAACAGTTACATGCGTGAGGTATGTGATACAACTTTATTTACTTGGCCTAACTTGAAAATCGGCAGGATGGGGCAAAACTGTTGAAGTAGAAAAAAGTCCTTTTCAGTAGAAGAAAGAATAACGTTGGATGCATTCTTCCGCCACTATGTGTTTTCGGCAGATTATGCAGAGAATCAAATAAATGGTTCTTCTTAATCGCTGTTCCAGAACGATTGGCGAAAACTTTATTGAACATCATAAAAGAAAATATCGCAGAAGGAAGCATTAATTTATACTTACTTCTGGAAATCATACAAGTCGGATGAACTGAAAAATGCCGGTTTTGAACATTTTACTGTCAATTACAACTACAATTTTGTGGACCCCGAAAGTGAGTGTCATAGACAAACAGTAGAGCGGCCGTGGGGCAGTGCTAAATGGCATTATAAAAGTCATACTGCTCGACAGCATTTCGACTACTATTTGTCCGAGTTTAGGTACAGACGCTTGCACAAAAAATCTGAAATATTTTCTGCTATGTTGGAAGACATAAAAAATACTTATATCTCCCATTTAATTTAGTTATGTTTAACCTTTTGTTTATAAATTATAATAACAAAAAAAAGTGTTTACTTGAAATTAACCTTTCATCTGAACTAAAACAGTAATCTTTGATAGTTGTTTACTATTATGCTTCCTTTCTTGCATTAGAGTTACCGTAAGTATTTTTGCCAGCATTGGCATCAACAGTAGTTTGGCGGTTTTTTACAGCCCTTATAACGTAATAGAACCTAAAGTTAAGAGGCTATCACTTCTAGGGAACTTCTATGTGGGACACTTCTAAGAAACGAGTTCTAGTAGCACTATATAAGCGGGAGGCTTCCGAGAAATGTTTCGTCTTGCTAGGAGGAACGTGTCCCGGCTATGAGCAACATTTTGAAACTTTCCCAAAAATGTTCCGTTTGGAGTCGTGTTCCTCGTCGGTCGTGGACACTAAACCGACAAAACATTTAGCCAACATGGACATTTAGCCGACAAGGACAGTTAGCCAACAGGACATTTAGCCGACATGGACACTTAGCTGACATGGACACTTAGCCGACAGGACACTTTGTCGACACGGACAGTTAGCCAACATGACATTAAGCCGACAATGAGTCTCGCTCTTCCCAATGGTTTTAGATTTCTAATACTTTCACATTTCATTACTACTTTGCTCAACACATCACACTACATTCATTCCCGTATAAAGTCGTATCGTTTCTCCCACTAATGAAATTTCTTTTCCTGTCAGGAAGTAGAGGGATTCGCCTTACTCTTCTCCACTCTGGAACTACTTTTTGTCTAAAATGCTATTTACACCCTATACAATGACAGGTTAGGCATCGCATATTTATTACAGATTACTACAATTACAGGTTAGGCATTGCATATTTATCTGGGCTAGTACTCCGGCACGGCAATTCGTACCTCATGGCCAGTAGCCAGAAGTAGGTTTGGTTTATGTAATTACGGCAAGCCAAGTGGCTTATATGCATAATGGGAGGGAATGTCCTTTGTGGAGGACTTTCTAAGGGAAAACTGGCTCGTATACATGTTACACACGGGGAAAACCTTAAACACACCCATGCAGCCTGTCCGTTCGCAGGATTCGAAATTCGGACCGAACTGCCAGTGTTCAGTGACATAACCGCTCGGCCGCTGCTAGGCCTAATAGAAATAGAGTGACCATTTTACTTAATATATAACCAGTCTCTTCCAGTGAAAATTGCCTTTTTAGGCTAGAACTTTATAAATGCATTCAGGAAAATGGGCACCAAAAATTTTCCCATTACCATGTAGCTAAAACAAAAACGAGAAAGAGAAGGAATGAAAGAGAAAGAAATTAAAATTAATGAAAAGTGAAATGAAAATTCATACATTTTTAACAGATATTGAGAAAGTTACATTTTATGAGAAAAACATGAAACAATATAACATATTATATTGAATATTACACATCGCGACTTTCAAAACAGATTACATAATATTATGTAGTTACATGACTGATCTGTTAAATCTAGCATCGATAGATGGTACCACATTAGGGTGACTTTTCAGGATGTCTTGCTTTGCTCCGCCCTGCTTGGTGCCCCTCCTTCTGCAGATCCCTCCGATTTCTCTTTGGAGATTTTCCAGCGTTCGGAGTTTCATATCATCAACGTTTTGGATACATGAAGAGTGAAAAATGTATTCAGTTATGAATGAAATAAAACCTTAAAGAATATTTTACTTCTAAATTAAACATAATGCACAGTTTCCTTGGTGAACCGAAGTTTCAGTGAAATGGGCACCTGGTTAAAAACCTATGCCAGTAGAACAGAATTTTCTATTTTTCGAACATTATTGAACATAGTTCTGGGAAAAGTAGATGCAAGTCCAGATTAATGTGAACAGTAAGTCGATGTTGTTGACAGATTTTCTACATTGAGCACCGAGGCAGACGTACGATAATAATTCCGGAGGATAGCCATAGCTGAGTTCGTAGCTGGATAGAGAGCATAGGAGGAACAGCATAACTGGTGCCATCTATTGGCCATTCCAGCAGATCTTGCAACTGGGGAGGAGTCAGAATTTTCAAAGATAGCCGAAAGTCATGGAGGTAAGAAAGGAAGGAGTGGCCAACCGGTACTAGAAGTGAAACACTGCTTCGAAGCTTCAGTCACCAGATGGGGTGTTTTTTGTTTACATTCAGTGCATTACATAATGTTAGTACGTACCATCACCTTACACATTATTACACAACATCTGAAAATAATTCTTTTGTAATTTTGCTGAAATTCAGTGTTGATATATCCATCTAAAATCATCTTTCTTTTGTCACATTTAGATCATAAAATGTTAACTTCATTGTCATTTTGATTTTGGCATAAGGGTTATTATAACAATTAAAAATCAAACTGTGTCTGTATTTGAAGTAATTGTTGAAAGCTTCAATACTTCAATAGACAGAGGATAACTTTATTCCACTAAATGTTAAAAAAGCTCTAGAAGAACTTCAAGAGAATGGAGATCATGAAACACAGTACAAAGTCCGTAATCAGGACTCGTCGGGACTTCAGCGATTCCGGATTAGGGTTTTTTCCGGATTATAGCTCATCAATTTAGATCTGGTAAGATGGCATGCAGAAATTATATTATTAAAAATATGAAACTGTAATTCATGAAATAAAAAGCGATTATGATCTAAAGGGTATCAAATTTTACAAAAAAAGCTTAATATTTATTTGTTTACTTCATTAAACATTTCTTTCAATGCGTGCATGCGCATTCTTTACGTGTAAAGTTTGTGGCTTTGAGGTCTGCATTATAGGTCATTCTGAATAACGGACTTTGTACTATAATAGCTGCTGCTACATATTTGGAGAAATGGACAAAAAAGTATTTCAGGAGATGGAAACATGCAATTAGATCATATTAAATGAAATCCCTTTTTGAAGTCAAGTTGAAGCAGTCTTTTTGTAAATTAATAAAATACCAAATTATAAATTATTGGAAATTGATATATATGAGAAATATATCTTAACTTTATACAGTACATCACGGAAGAAAAAATATTGGAATGGTTAAAAAATAAGGTGTGCCCAGTTCATAGGTAGATGTAGGGTGGTAATTTCGGTTGTTGTAGCTTTTATTTTATGGCGAACAATGCGTAGCAGCAATCTTCGCTCTCCTCTGGAATCAATGTGTCATTAACAATACACTACTGGCAGATCCATGCACGACTTTTGATATGTGCTCACAATAACTGCATGTGAACAGCCCACTAAATGCGCCTTTTCTGATATTGATGCTCCCAGTCACCGAGCCATAATGATTTGACCTTTATTGAAGTCTGATAAATCAGCTGCTTTTCCCATTATGTTGCTAACCGCACTATGTTTGGAAAGACAATGCATGGCCTCTTTATATTCTGTAACATCGGCCACGCATGCTTAGTGGTTTTGTTCCTGGGCGAGCCCATTGTTATAGATGGAGGGTGGTCATAATGTAGGGGCTCTTCAGTGTATATGGCTTTGCCAGTCAGAGAATTAACTGAAAATATATAATAAGTATTAAAAATTGTGTTGATTCTGGAAGTACTTAGGTCTTGCGTTTGTGTAAATGTATTTATTAAGTTAATTTTAAATGTAAGTCTTCTTGTTGGTTTGTTAATTTTACTGTAAATGTTTTGTAACTTTCAATATTACTTATAATATATGTTCTGCTATAAGTTATTTAACGAAAACTTATCCCTGGCTTTTTACATTTTCTTTTGTTGTTTTAAAAGTTGTAATAGCTATTAGTTTTCACAATTTTATAGATGTTTGGCCTTTTTTTTTTTTTTTTTTTTTTTTTTTTTTTTTAATCTTGTAAAAGCATCACTATTTTCTCTGTGGGGAAAAATAATCATAACTATGTTTCAGAGCTGACATTTGATCACGGTTTATTAAAATTATATGTGCATTTTATATTGCTTTCTGAAGGATCAGCATTCCTTTTCTATAATCCTTTTTTTTGGGGGGGGGGGGGGGGTATATAAACCTTTTTTTTTTTCCTCCAAATGAGGTTTAAAATTTTAAACAGCTAGCAAGTAAAACTATCCTTTTAATTTTGATACTTAGTTTGTTTAACATTAATTTTTCAAAACACCTACTTTTTTAATACTTTCTTTTTGGTTCTCATGTGGCTTTAAGTTGTATTAAAGTGTTGTCATAACATGATGAAATGATATGTATTAAATGGTATGTGTTGTACTTAGAATAAAGTTGTAATAAAATTGAATTTTGTCATGTAAATGTTTGATTATTGATAGACTATTTTAAATATTTTGAAAAATATGTACTTCAATGTAATATTCAATAATTTAACATATCATTCAATAGTTAATTCAATATTTGTTAATGTAACATTAACAGTTTAATATTTCAATGTAACTTTTTAAATTTCCAGGTGACGCCAGAATTGAAGTTACCAGGCCTTTATCTTGTGGATTCTATCATAAAAAATATTGGAGGGCAGTATCTGAAATTATTTAGCCAACATTTGATTAGTCTTTTTTCATCTGTATTTGAAAAGGTTTGATTTGCCCTTAGGCTTTTATTATTTTTTTATACTGTGTTTAACATTTATATAGAATTATAATTTTAAAACTATTTTAAACATGTAGTTGAATTCTGAGGAATATTCCTGTGATAAATAAGTTTGTGCATCCTGATAAGGAATAAAGTTGTATTACACAGTATGAGGTGTAATGAACAACAATCTCTCAAGTATATAAAGTTTTATTATATAGTATGAGGTATAATGAACAACAATCTCTCAAGTATGAGTTCTCTTTCATATTATTTACTGAACGAATATGTAAATAATAGATATAAGTATTATGTGACTTAAAAATAAGGTTTGTAGTTGAAAAACTTCATATGTTGAGGCTTTGTTAAATGCATTTCTCCATCACAGCTTTATGTACTATGCTAGAATACAATGTATTTATTTTAGTTTATTGTGATTAAGGTTGTCCATGCATACGTTTACTCTTAACCTTATTTGTATATAGATCTTCAATAAAATGGAATGCTTGTTATAAACTAGCTTTACCCACGGCTTCATTTGTATTGATGTCCTTAAATAAGTTGCAACTCTGCATTAATTTAAAAAATACACTCCCCTTAAAATTTCAATAAATACTGCCTTTCTTCAATACCTATAGGGTGCAGATATTTTGTATTTATGCCTGACCAAAGGGTTATTTTTAAAAATAAAGAACATTTGACAGGGTTCGTAGCGGTTCTTATAAGTGCTTATAAGTCCTTATATTTGAAAATAAAATATAAAGGCACTTATAGGTGCTTACTTTTTCTTTAAAGCTCTTATTTATTTATTTATTTATTTTTTTGTTTTAGTGCTTATTTTTTGCTTTTAGTGCTTTTAAAAATTTTTTTTTTAATGAACGTGCTATTTTTCCCCGAACCAAAGCCGAAACTAAATAAACAACTTTTCTTCCTAATATGGAATGTCAGATGGTGAATCATACTCCTGGAAATAGCTTTTCCCCCTTTCTCTGCATTAACATAACCTTTGGTGTGCATGAAGAGTACAGACAGGTGCCCGTCGTTCTATTGGTCAAAGAATCGCGAAAGCAGTAGAAAATTCCTGTACATTCGGCATTCTTTTCCTCCCACCTAAATACTACTCATATTTGAATTTCTATCAAGATCTTAAAAATTTGCATTCTCGTTCTGCTTGGTCAGTTCATATTTGTGTTTATTATGATCGTTATGCTTATATTATGAGTATATGAATGAATGTTTATAATAACATAGTTGCAGTAACTGCTGAAGTATAGTAAACTTCCAAAAATAGTTGTGTTTTAACACAGATTAGCTTTCTAAGGAATAATATTCGGAATGGCTTAAATAAAGGGAAAGTAATCGAATAGACAAAATAATTTAATTTTTTTGACCAATACATTATACAGTACGAAGGTTGGGAGGTCTCCCCTTTTTCCGCAAAATCTTGAATATTGAAACTGTTACAGTTCGCTGCAAAACAAGCAACAGACTTTTTTTTTTTGGTCACTTTCCAATCTGGATTGAATAGGACTAAAAGTTCTGCGGTCTACCAACCCAAGTGAAGAATGATTCTATTCCGGAAATTTAACGCCGTCTGTTGAAAATTAGAATGAAAAACACCCCAGTTATTTAGTTCTTTATTCTCCCAATACCTGCAGTTGTTGATTCCGATTGCGTAATATCATTTAGGGAAGAATTACGGCACATGTATTGCACGATAACGTTTGCGATATTTTGCAGAGATAATTAATTTTGATGTTCAATCCGAGATTTGTTTATGAACACTTAAAAGAGTTTTACTGTGCTTGCTAAGCAGAATATTTTTTAGTTCTGTTGGTTTATTTTTATATGATGCACATATTGAAATGTCAAAAGCATTTATTTAGTGGAAAAATTTAGAGCAGCTACACTCTAACCCCCCTCCGCTCCTCTTTTTCAAGTTACTCTCGACTGTCCGAATATTCACCAATTTCCAAGTATGCGGGTTAGTAAAGCTTTTACTGTTAAAGGATGACTGCATATAAAAATTTAGAAAATGTTCAGAATTTAGATTTAAATTATTTAAATATCAATATGAGTGGAAAAATAAATTGTATTAATTATTAGGTTCCAATCGAATACAATAAATATGCCTTATTATTATTTATTTTCTCTATTTTGAACTGAAATTTCATCATTAAATCTTGTAATATAGTTAAGTTCTGCATAGTTTTTTTTCCTCTCATTGTAAACTAGTTCTGTAAACTAAACTGTTATTTAAAATTAAAAAAAAAAAAAAAAAAAAAAAAAAAAAAGTAATTATTTTCCATGGTTGAGGTAATGCTTATTCTCTCTTAATAAGTACTTCATTTCTCATATTTTAAATTACAAGTCTAATTTTTAAGGTTATGCAGTTGTGTATGATGTAATTAGACAGGTGCTTATTTTTTTTCTTAAAATGTGCTTGAAAAGTGCTTATAGGTGCTTATTTTTTTAACTTAAATGTGGCTATGAACCCTGATTCGAGCACCTTAAAATGATAAAACGATAGTTATTATCGCACACAGTAAAATGTAAAAAATATAAAATGTAAATGCTATTTTTCAAGCAACAATTGCAGAAATATATAACACAAATAAATAGATCTTTAAAAAAATATGAAACAAAACATTAAATATAACACAAAAGTCGAAATGTTGATAATAGTTTCAAGTCGGTAAGTTAATTAGAAGTCAAGTCATTAATTTTTAAATGATTTTCCAGGTGTAAATCCATGAACTTCGACCTTTTTGCCAACCCAACGGTCGACCAGATACGAGCTACACCCCCTCCGTCGCTTTCGAATCGCAGCTTGTCAACAAAGAGTTAACAATAGGAAGCAGAGTATTGTTTCATCTGCGATTAAGCTGGAAATAATTAAGCGACCAAAAATAGTTCCGCCACCATTGTTCCTATCATTCAGAGTGTGACACAAGTTTCTAAATTTCGAGACATTTGGATAATTAGATCAAAAGTTATAATTTTTATCACCAATTTATTGAACCCACACGGAAAGACCTAAGAAAAAATCCATAATGTCGGTATTGAGTCTCATTCAAATTAGCATTTTCAGAGTTTTTAATTAATATGACAGCTGATTAAAGTCGTACGAAGGTGAGAATGGTATCGATGGATTCTGATGAATTTTTGAAATCAGTGGATAGGTGTCTCGAAATTAAACCAACTGCTGTTCCATAGATATTTGTGAAAAAATTAATTGGTGCATAGCCAAATCCCTTTAATAGGGAATAACCCAAGAAAGCAAGTGGAAAAAGTAGGAGAAAAGTAGTTTTTAATTAATATTTCAGCTAATTAAAGTCGTACAAAGACATTTTATAGCCTACAACCTTTTCTAATATATCAAAAGTATTTCTTGAAAATTTCGTGATGATCGGTTAAGTAATTAAGATGTGAAAGCGTAACAACTCAAACAAACTCACATTCGCATTTATAATATTAGTAGGGAAGTCACCTGAGGCTAAGTCTAGTGATATAATGTGGATCATAAGTAACTTAAAGTTAACTGCCTCTTTTCTTTGGAAAGTGATTAACTCAAATGAGCAGGTAGTTGATGTGAGTTTACATGGGTACGCATAATGGTATCAAATTTATGTTCTGGTTTGTGTTCATGTGTCCACATCATCCTCAATAGTGAGTGCAGTGACAGATCAAATTAAACTTTTACCATAACCTTTAATTTTTGGTGATTGCTGATGAGTACTTAAGCAGAGTGGGAGATTATACTCATTTGAAATTGTATTTTTTGAATCATTCATGATTAAACCACATTGTGTCCTGAAATGGACACCACAGGTGTTAAAAGAAATATCTCTAAAAGTGAGTAGTAAGAAAAAACATCTTAGTGCTTATATTGCTCTGTATTGTGTGATAATGGACAAAATTTAAATAAGAAGTGCTTCTGAGTGAGTAAAATATTTTATTGATATATGACATTGCAAATGCTTAACTTGTTATGTTCACTACTCATACTAATAAAATTCAAATTACTGAGTTTTTGTGATGTTCACCATCAACATCATTCATGTTGCATTCCAAGACAGAAACTAACTGCCATTTTTCCTAATATGCCATCAGAATGACTGGTCAAACATGCAAACTAATTGTCATTTTTCCTAATATGCCAGCAGAATGACTGGTCAAACATGTATATGCCATTAATTGTTAGAGTTCTTTTGGTGCTTTTGTATTTTACTGCCCTTCAGTAGCCTTACAGAAAGAAATTTCAAATTCAAATCTGTCAATTTATTGAGTGGGATTAATGGAAAGGATTAACATGATTATTGTAATTACTTTTAGAACACCATCAATGTTTAAAACATTATTTCTTCTTACTCCCTTGTGGATTAAAAGAGAAGATACTCATCTCGAAATCTTTGCCTAAGATTTTCATGTAACTTCTGCACATACTTTATGCATTTTATCAAGGAAGATTGTTCTACACTGTCAAGATCTGGAGTTTGGCTGTTGCTGCCTCCATGAATAAACTTTTCTAGAGTCACTGGTACTACCTCATTTGGATCATGTTGTGTGTAGGTCAGAGGTTTAGAATTTTTCACCGACTCCCAGTCATACAGGATCATACTGAGCTCTTTGTAATTTCCTTCATTCTTTGCCTATGTTTCAAAAGGCGAGAAAGACATTCAAGTGACTCTTCATTTTGTTGACTTAGGAGCTTCTTAATACACTCGTACATTACGGGCTCAACAAGCATGTTTAATACGAAGAATTCTCCAATGAACCTTATATTGCTTAGTTGCCTGTATCTCATTTTTGTTTCTTCTTCATCAAACTGTCATTAAAGCTCTTTCTTCTTTTCGAGATCTGCAGTTTCAATGGTTTTAATGCTGTCTTTCCTTTTAAGCCCATCAGTTTTAGCATGCTCAAACTCTTTCTGGCTCTTGGTAAGTAAGAACTTCCAGAAATTTACCTGTTCTTAAACTAAAGGCACTTTGATTAGTGCATATT